TTAATATAATCATAATAGTAGAGTAGGCCTCACTCGTACTGATTACTGATCATTGAATATGGTTACTTATATATATTATTTGCTGACATTGTATTTTTCTCAACTTAAAATATTATTTCAATATATTTTATCTAATCAAATACACATTTGATCATATTACACGAATAATACTAGGTTGTAGGTACAATTTTATTTTAATACCCATAATACAAATATATAATAAATAAATATAGTAATATTATTTTATTATTACCTATATCATTCATTTTTTTTGTCATTAATATTAATGTAGTCCCTACCATAAATCTCGAACATTTTCAAATAACGTTCTATATAGTCAAAAATGTGTTAAATGATAATTTTTTTATAGACATTTGAATTTAGACGAAATTAGATATTTTTCAAATTTAGAACGATGATTTGAGTTATTTCGATGTAATTCAAAAATATTACTCTTGGGGACTTGAAACTTTTGCGTATATTATTATATATTTTATAATTATATATGATAAACATTTCAAACAATTTGGATACAATTTGAATCTATTGTCTGTATATAGGTGCCACGAACCTATTCACACAGTTCTACGGTAAGTATGGGTATCGACTAAAACAGTACGCATTTAACGTTAGGAGATGTTGAAATGAATGTCAAGGAACAATAAAGCCCGTCGTAACATTTGAAACTCACCGTTCGGCAAGACGACAGCAGCGGAGGCGTTTGGATCTTCTGTAACTTCGCGGTCGACGTCGGACATCACGTGCGGAAGGAGCCGATGTCGTTAGCCGCACACATGTCTGCAGCGGACTTCCGCCGAAGTCAAAGCGGCGGGAACAGAAGGCACCTGCCGAAATCGCAAGGGGTCCGCGAGCGTCGGTTCATCGTGTGAATTGAACTGGGAATCGCGCGTATAGCGTATCTATAAACTATTGCCGTCAACGGAATGAAACGAATTCGCGAGGGGACTTCAAACGACGTTAGGCATGTCTCATTGCTTATGAATATATTTTACACGTAGGAATAACATGGATTTTCACCAGGGTTCGCGGATCCGTGTCGACGGATATTATTTCGTGCTGATCGGTACGATTGCGGTACACCTGCAGCACACTAAAACGATCGACGTGAGTGCAACGACGGTTTGTCAAAAACTGAATCATGGGCTTTTTTACGCTATCGCAGTGGTACGGTACGTGCAGGTATATAGGTATATTATGGCGTCTTCGTGGATCCGAACCGCTGTGTGTGAATGACGCATCTCGATTCCGAGACACCGACCACTGACTAACCCTATGGACGACCGTGGTGTCGAGCCGGCCGACCATGTGGTCGAACGCGCATATTTAGATATACCAACAACCTACATATTATTATATCATAGGTTCGAAAGCTATATTACTTAAGTATACCCGACCTCATCAGTTTTCGTGCTATAATCAGGCATAAGACTTAACATACTTGTAACATATATATATATTATATATAGTATTATAGCGACGTCGTACAATCACTTTTTTTATTTGATAAACAATGCGTAATTGTGTTGGGTACATATTACAATTTACAGCTGGTTTTCGTCAAAAAGTGCAGTCCAAAGCTGTGGAGGTAATATTTTTGTTAAGAGCGTTTAAGAGAATGGCAGTACAGTATTTAGTTTATCTCTCAGCTAAGACCTATGCGTCACATAGACAACGCATCAGGTAAAATCGTGTTGTACAATTTTTGAGTTATCTTAGAGTGTAATCAGTGATTATTATAATTGCCTAAACTTATTACGAAAATTACAGAGAATAATATTTTTTAGAGTTTGACATATCCGTTTTATATTTTATGATTTTATTACACGATAAGATAGCTTTTATTATTATTTGACTTGAAAAAAAAGGTTTTACATAAAAATGTTGACAATATATTTAGACGAATGGATTTGTTAAACTCTAAAAACATCATTCTCTATAATTTTTGTCATGTGTAATTTTACTCTAAAGATACTCAAAAACACAACAAAATAATTTTGCCTGATTACGTTTTGTTTATGTCACGCATGGACCAGAGAGGGGAAGCAAATAGTGCGCTGACGTCCTCGTATTATAAAATGTTCTAAGGCTGTGTTCAAAATACAAACGACATCGAATGGAACGGCGTTGAATTGTTCATAAATTTGTAAAAATGTATTAGAATATTAGGTAGATGATCAATTTATGTGTTCTTAATTGAAATTTGTCGTTCTACTAAAATAAGTTTTGACCAAGTGTCTAGTGTTTCTGCAGTGAAGATAATCCGTGTGATCTCAAATGACATGCGGTCGTATCACAAATCGAATTTAACGATTGCATCTCATGCATCAGGTGCACACAGTCACACGGAGTTTGGTTTTTTTTGTGTTTTTGTTTTTACTTTTTAGAAACAATTAAAATTGTGTTGGGTTAGGTTGAAATTATGTTTTGTTTTCTTATCCCATGTTGACCCGGCATTATTTGTAAATTGAACGATATGTTTACCAACTGTGATCAACACCACGTGGGAGATTTATCTTGTGAATGAAATTCTCAATACGTCATTGTAGTATTAGAACGATATTCTTAGCAATGTTCCATTGTAATTTACGCTCATACGACGGATAAACCGTCACTCGTGCGTCATAGATATTCAAGGTCATTATACGTCATCAGGTCGTCTATCTGCATAACACGGTCACTGTGTTCACTGTCCATTCATAAAAATATTAAACATTAATACATCATCTCCCATACTGCCACCTTACACTAGTTCATACTATATATTATTATTGTAATTTATAATACCTAGTACCTACAACCTACCTTTACAGGCTATATACAACTGTATACATAATTATCATATTAGCTAGTATTATACTACTCTGTAAGACGTAAGTAGGTACCTATGTAGGTAACTATTATATATTATGAACCATTTAAATACATTCATCATTATTATACCTATTATAAATTATAGTACATATACTGACTATTATATTAGTCTGTACATAGAATTTATATTACATTATAATATATACCTTCATAAATTCATAACCATCCACTAAACAGTGTGTTCGACGGTAAAAGTAACGTGAAAATATTACAAATGCATGACCCTGAATTTGCTTCGTAGTTTTTTACTTCATAAAGGACTTACAATTAAACTAATTTTAGTTCAAAAATCTTTAACCTTTTGAGTGCCTTTTTAGCATGCTTTTGAAACAAATTATTTGAAGCAGCCACCCCCCTAACCACTCTCTAATTTTTTAGTTCAAATTTTAATTAGGTACGATAATTTTAATTTTAACATTTAAAGCTTGAAAATTTCATATAAGATTCCTCATAAAGAAACATACATTTTTTATACATTGATATTAAAACGTTGAAGCATTGTATAATATTCAAACTTGTATCTAACAACGATTTTTATTATTGTTCATAAAATATTAACAGTAGAAACCTGAAACGTTTCACTATCACTTAAATTATCATTTTTTACACACAATGAAATTTAAAAAATATTTAGATTCGTTTTAAGATATGCATAGACTGTAGGCATTTGAAATTGAATAATTTCTTAGAATTTATTATTATACATTCAGCGGCCTCTTTTAAAAAATCACTGTGGCCGTTGTCAACGATATAGTTCAATAGTTGTACGTAATTTTATAACTTGTAGGAAAAATATATTCTCAGAAGATCATCTTTATCAAAAAAAATTGGGCACCCCTGCTACATACTCTTCGCAACAGCAGAAGCAAAATATGTGCGTCATCATATTTTTTACGTCGATTTAAACAGAAAACATTTTATACAGGTCAAAAATCTGAAGATATGACTCAAATTTGGAGCCGGTAGTGGCTGCAAAAGGAATAATTCACATCCGGTTACATAGACTTGATCCAGTCACGGGCAATCTAAGTTTTCACTATTGTCTATAACAATATAGTAAGCCACGGGCAATCGGTAGATAAAAAGATATACCAGCACTCTGCACTTCTGGAGTCAGACATCATCCTGTGACTAACGTCCGAGGAATCCGGAGATTTATATACAGGTATATCAGTATATATATATATCTCAATATGTATCAGTTATGCAGTAATGCAGTATATTAGTATATTATGTGATATGACATAAAGCTAACAATAAAAAAATAGTTTGTTATTATTATTCCGTACAGACACCTAGTGTCCATAATTTTTACCCGAAGTGGCAGTATGATTGAGATTTGAGATCAACTAACTTGCAATACATAAATAAATATAATATATAATTATGTTATATGGTTTTATTAACCTGACGTGTTGTAATAAATAAACTGATATAAATTGCCTCTGCAGTTTCCTACACGTGTAGTGTGTTCATTCAGTTCCGGATTCATAGAATAATGGCCCCGCCAAACATAATATGACTTATCATAAATATACCCCTTAAAATATTTTTAAATTTAACATGTACAAAAATTAGGTGTCTCGTTTAGATAATAATAATAATAATAATAATAATAATAATAATAATAATACATAACCGAGAATTTAAAATAAAAACATAATATTACCGGTTTTTGAATGTACTATTATTAATTCCCATATAGATATATAGAATGAACAATTTAAATGTATTTACCAAAGACCTGCACTGGCCGTGCTACACAGACCGGCTGGTACCGAATTGGTTCCCGAGCTCCAACCCCACATGCCGAATTGGTTCCCGTCTGAAAAAGGTATTTTATTAAGGTAAGCCGAATTGGTTCCCGTTTAAAAAAGGTATTTTATTAAGTTGAGCCGAATTGGTTCCCGTTTAATTACGCACATTTTACAGGCTTAGGACTGTCAACTTAAAAGTAGGCTTGGTTAAAAATGTGCGTTAATGCGTGTTATAAAAAAAATTGATATAATATTATATACAATTTTGAATCGTTGATTTTGAAGTCAACTATAGTCATCACTAGGTGTAGGTACAAAATACAAATAATAAAATATAATAAATACAATTATTTAAAATCGTTGATTTGCAAATTTGAAGCAAACTTTCTTTAAGTATTCAATTCGCGTAAGCTTCTCATTTGTGTACTCAGTCATACAATTTTCCAAGAATTTGTTATTTTTTTCTTGTTTGCTAGTAAGTTTCCTAGTATTATTACTTCGAAATTTAATATAATTTAATGTCTGAATACTGTTTAAAGTCTCCATAAAATAAAATATATTAGGATGGGCAGTTGTAAATTCTTTATTCAGCTTTGAATGGAACGATTCGCAACAATTTGTAGTCCTATCAATATTTTTGTCAAATCTAGCCCAAATTTTCGGTGGAAAGATACTGTCTGACATTATGTATGTATCATGAACGTAGTCGAAGAACTGATCCAATTTTGGGCAGTAGGGTTTTATGGCCATCAAATCATTATAAAAACAGTCTTCGACATCTTCAGGTGATAATAAGGGCAGTCCAAAAAATAGTTTAAGAAGTTGTCCGATTTCTGAAGCATTATCTTTAAATTCATTTGAGAGACCAAACTGTTGAATTTTTCTCCACCATGACTGACATAAATGGAATCTGCAACCTCTAACTGTAACTTGCTGTAGCTGTGAAGTTATGGCACTATGGATAGCTGTTTCAAAATCAACGAAAACCGTGCCAACTGTTAGATATTTTGCGACCTTATGTAAAGCAAGTATGTAAGTGTCAGTAGTCTTGTTCGGGAGTAGGCTGAATACGACAGGAACATAGCTATTTTGTACCTTGATAAAAATAGAAAATAATTGGTAAAATTGCTTAGGACAACTTTTGAATGTTCCATCGACAAATACCGTAGTGGCTTTCTTGAGTTGTTCCAAGTTCTGCGTGCATGTAAATGTAATTATATTGTTGACAGAATCGTTGTCATAAATAAAGTTTTCTCCGAGATTAGTTATTAACGAATATTCACTGACACTTTTATGCAGTTCTTCAAGATTAGAAGGTAACTTGGGAATTGTTCTTAATTTAGCAGCATTCAAATTTTTACGGACTCTGTTAATATCATTTTGAAGTAGTGACTCACTATGACTGTTTGAAGCTATCTCCTTGCGTATAATTTTTGATGGTCGCTCTGTAATAAGTTCGTCACATTTTCTTTTTAATGAATTTGTCAATTGTTGTCGCACAAGTGTACCATCGTTTTCACTTTCGTGGTTATGTGTTAATACTTCTTCACATAAACAATCTCCGTTCAATTTAACGTATGCTTTACATTTTCGTTTTGTACATATCCACCTCTGTATGTTATCTGCTAGGTTCTTTTGGAATCCAAACTTGTAATTGTCAATAATCAACAACTTAGTTCCCTTTTCACTAAACATAAACTCCATAATTACGAAAAATTAAAATTAAAAAACATAAATTCAAATACGAAGTACAAATTACAAATTTACACGATGTGTTATTCGAGACTGTACAGTGCTCACTGCTTACCAACATTATTGTCATTCGTACATAGGATATAGACGATATACCATACAGCGATAAAAGTACATATATCTTAATCGTTATCTTAATTGATCGGGATATCACAGATAATTTGCTAAACTTCCAATATATAAATATATTGCCATCTTATTGTATATTATACTATAGATTATAGAGTGTAGCCGTGTAGGTACATTTATATTTTATAAATTACCTGTACACAAACGGGAACCAATTCGGCTCAACTTAATAAAATACCTTTTTCAAACGGGAACCAATTCGGCCAAACGGGAACCAATTCGGTTACTCCCCACAGACCGGCCCAGACCTCTAGTTACTACTTTTGTCTACGGGCCGGACCAGGCTTCTACGAAATATTAGAAATTCTTACAGGACCAAAATTATAAACAGAAAAAAACATATTATACTATAGATTAAAAATTATAGACAAGGGAGGTGTGAAGAAATTTGCTAGGTTCACCCTCCAAAAACTATTTGCGGGCCAGGCCGGCCAGTAAATCATCAGCCCGTGCAGTCGTGCAGATCTCTAGTACTCTGCACCCGTACTACAGGCATGGTCATTCATTTTTTACACTATAAAATAAATACTATTAAATCGATGCGGTATGGTTAAATAATCTATAATTCGATTATATGAAAACTATTGACACTTCAAACCGCTTAACCATCATCGAGGTACACACCGTATGCCAAAAACATACCTAAATATTTCATTTTTTCTTATATAATTCTTTTTTTTATTTAGGTACTCTATATTTTATGGCATTGAAATACAGAATTCTTAAGTTTTTTCTATGGGCCCTGGACCCCTGGTTACCCCTCCGCTCCCCTTAGTTCGGTCCTGTGTTTATCTAAATTAAAATGTATTAAATAATGTATTTAATATATTAATCACCCTACGGCTAAATGCACGATAGTTTTTGCTGGAAAATATTTGATTTTTAATGAAAAACTACTGCCATTTCCTTTGTCAGCAAACATTCAGTATAATATATTATAGACAATAAGTACAACTATAGATGTAATATCTAAATTCTAAATTGAACATTAACGATGGATCTCACAAATATTTATATTATATTTTCCAACCAATCATTGCATGATTTTTTTGATCTACAAAATATGAAAAATAAATACATTTTAATATCTTGTAAATTGTAATAGTAAACTAGAAACTAAATTTGTTTTTCTCATTTATATTAAAAATCATTGTACAATTGTCAATCTGTAAATGTATTTACAATACGCGGATACCTAACACATAAGTAATAAGTTAATTAGGTAGAGTAGTTGATATAAACATAAGGATTAGATACCCCCCAAGGCCCCAATAACAGTTTTTCGTGATTTTTTTACTCTCTTGTTATACCTACTAAATGTAATTACACTTCAAATATGTTAAGACAAATTGTATTTTTTAATTATTTATTAACCCCTACTAATTACATATTTTTTAAATGTTACGCACTAGCCAGTACAGCCATTAGCTAAGAACTATTAAGACAAAGCTATTGGCTCCGGTCGTCGGAGCTGTTGTGGGTGTAAGTACGAACAAATAAATACCGATTTAGTTTTTAAGTACCTACTGATTCAACAGTTACGTTCACACTTTTGCTCCTCAAAACTGTTAACAGGTAATTATTAATCGGATACACTATTGGACTACCGAACAGTACATTAATCGCTGAATAGTGAATACCACGGCTATAGATATAGTATCTATAGCCGTGGTGAATACCCAAAGTCCGAACACTACTAACCCGTACATTGTACAATATTATGATTTATGACCACGCACAGCGCCACATCGCAGCCACGCTGCACGTTGCCATTGTTATCACGTAAACGTTGCGTGTCGAATGTTGATATTATACATATTGCATTTAGTGCCCACGTAAATGTTATCAAAAGACTGAACGTTATAAAGACATATTTTATAATTTCTACTACTAAGACGCAAAGTCGTTGGACGCCGGGTGGGCTTATCGCGTTCGGGGCAAACGAATGAAAACGAGATTATTTGTTTACGCCATTATTTTACTTATCTTGTGTATTATTACGATTAAATTGTAAATATTTAATATTATATTGACTATTATAATATTATAATAGCCAGTTGTTTAATTCTCAAGTCCGCAATGCGGTTACCGTCCTAGAGTTGCGTTTATAGTTGGCGATCGAGATTAGACTCATCGGAGGTTCAAGACAAGAGAAGAGGACGTGCTTATGAGACATAGATAATTCGTTTTACAATTAGTTATTAATATCAATGATGTTTTAAATCGCAATATTAGTTTTATTGTTCATTTATCATTTCTTCAAACGTCGCTGTCGCATAGAAGGCTCGGAGGAATAATATTGTTAAATAATATATAATATATTTTATGGGTAAATTAGGTGATTTTATAAAACCGTTATTAATTATTAAATGCTTATTAAAATGCAGATCACTTGGTTATTATTTTGTGCTTTATTTTTTTCCATCGTCGCAGCCAATAGTATGAATAAATTTTTGTACTTTGCGTACGGGAGCAACATGCTTGCACAGCGGATTCATATTCAAAATCCATCTGCTGTAAGAATTGGAACTGGCAAACTGAATGTATGAAATACTGTTTTGAAAATGAACCATTGTTTTTAGTTAATAGATTTTTGTTATAGGCATTTCGTTTAGATTTTAATGGATTTTCACATTTTTGGGACGGATGTCCATCAACAGTGGTTCCGGACCCTGAGGAGCATGTCTGGGGTGTATTGTGGCAACTGAATACAAGTGATTTGAGCAATCTAGATCGTCAAGAAGGTGTCGAGAAAAAAATCTATGTACCTTTTGAGGTAAACATTGTGACACCAAATGGTGAAAATGTATTAAGCCGCTGTTACATGCTAGTCAATCAGCCTGTTAAACAAATACCATTGCCACTTGAAAGAAGACCGTCTAAAGCATATCTAGAAACTATCTTGCTAGGGGCAAATGAAAGTGGTTTACCATTGGACTATTTACAATTTCTTAATGAAATACTTGATAATGGCAATGATGGTCCACAAATGCCGTGGTCAAAGCGTGAACCTTTAAAAACTACTGAATTGTAACTGAGTACTTGTCTTGTTTAAAATGTGTTATAAATTATCTCTTAAATATTTTGTAAAGAAAAACTTTAGGTGTACAAATCTGAATAATCTATAATATTCAATACTGTAAAAAAATATGTAAGGAGGTAAAGGGACATTGATTAAATCAGTTTTCATACAGACAATATTGTTGGTGATTGTATACTTAATAATTAATATAGTTAAAATATAACGAGTAAAGATAAGTAAAATTAAGCATAAGTAATGCAATAACGATTAAATGTTCTAATTTTATTTACTTTAGAGACATAAATGTATAATGGATGACAAATCATGACAAAAAGAACATTTAGATCATGTGTAATCTTTACTAGTTTGTGTTTATTGTTTGTATCTCATTATATCAGTGTTTCCCAACCTTTTTACCACCACTTCCACAATATTTTATAGGTCGCGGACCACCTCAATTTTACACAAACTAGGAAGACCTTTTTTTTTTTTTTTGCTCATTAACAAGAATACACAAAATTTATTGAAAAATTTTTATGATTTTACTGTACTATTATATATAATTATTTAATTATTAAACTTTACTAATAATTTACTTAGTGGGATTTTTGTGGCTGCATTTCTTTGACCAGTTTTTCAATTCTCGGATGAATGTTGCTAATGGCTAAACGCATGTCGTCACTTACGTCCAAGCGATTTCTCTGTTTATTTTTGATCACAAGTAGACTGGAAAATCCTTGTTCACACAAATACGTAGTTGAAAATACTACTAAATAACGTAAGGCAATTTCCCGTAGTTGAATATGTAATGTTGCCCTTCTGCACCAAAATTCCTCAAGGTTCATACCAGAATCAAACATATTTTTGCAGTCAGAGTCATTTTGCAGTTTTAATAGAAAACTAAGAAAGGTACCGCGGACCACCTATGACTGGCCCACGGACCACCGGTTGGGAAACACTGCATTATATAGATGGAATTATAATTAATGTAATAATTGGTAGTCAGAAGAAGTAATGAATATGCAGTCTCATCATCAGATGAAATTAATTTAAAATATCCTGAATAACATTTTACTTATGTAATTTGTATTTACAAATGTGTGAGCATACAATTTTAACACAACTCAAGAGTTTTTTAAGTGATCTTAGAGTAAAATATTAAAATCACTCAATATATAAATTATAAAGAATAATATGTTTAAGGGTACACTGTATCTATTTGTCTACATTTTGTTTCAAAAAAATTGTATATCCATTTGAATTTAAAAAAAAAATGTTATTTTTAAAGTCAAATAAAAACATTATAAAACCAATTTGTCACACCCTCAAAAATATTATCATCTATAATTTTTGTAGTAGGTGATTTTACTCTACAATTACTCAAACATCATAGAAAAAGCAATTTCACCTGCACGCATATTATCTATGTTGTACATGGATCGGATTCCTGAGAGAAAATCGAAATTGCCTTGACATCTAGAAATGTGACCAAATCTATTGGTTGCTTCAACTTTAAATTCCCTTCTCTGATTGAGGAGAAGAATTTGTCTTAGTCTACTACCCTCCATTGTTCACACATCCCTTATAAATACTCGTATATTTCATGTAAGGACACATGTCAATGATCCTTGAAATATAATGAAATTCATCTATTAGAAGATATACAGTATTTTTTACCAATTATAAAATGTAAAAAAAATTTGTCCATTTATTACAAACTGAATGAGTTTAAAATAACTTTTAAAATAAAAAATATTCACTTACCCAGCCTTAGTTCTGAGATAATTACTGCATATTTGAATATTAAACTTTGATGATTAAAATAAATTATCAAATAAACTGAATATCAAAAAATCGTCTAACATTCTAGTACTAATTGATTACTTTGCTTCTTCAATAGACCCAATCATTTAATTCAATATGAGCTTATTTTCTAATAGAATTGGTTAATAATTTTATAAATTCAAAACAATTTCTAAGACATAATAAAAATACTTTATTCTAGATATTAAGAACTTGGATTGCGTCATTCAAACATCCATTTTAGGGGAAACTTTAATATAAATACAAATAGATTCTCTATGATGCTTTTTACATTACATGTTATTGTTTACAAGAGTAACATTACCGAGAATATTTTTGGTACATAGAGGTATCTTTACCAGTTGATCTTTTTTTTGTTTTTTATATAAAATGCTATATATTTTAGTGTAAAAACACTACTTTAATCCTATAACAAAACATGTAAAACAATTTGTTATATTAAATATAATTTTACACTTTTGATGATGTACATGCAGTATCTATAATTTGTTAATGTATTATTGTTTTAAAAAAGTAATTAGAGTATCCAGATTCTATGGTATATACTTGCTTTTATACTATTTGATGTTTCTACTTTCTTACATTGATGTATAATATATAATAATTAATAAATATTGAAAGTAATATTTATGTTTCTTATAACTTAATATTGTTTTTAACAATTTTAGAACTAGTTGATTTAATTTTTGCGACAGATGTCCGGTCAGTCTTAATAAACACATATGAATCATTGTCCTCATATGACTGGAATCCAATATCAATGATATTCCAAGATGATGTATATTCTTTAATAATATCTTGATTCATAGTTAATTGTATAGCTGTTTCTTTAGTAAGTATTGCCATTTCTCTTTTGGGCATTGGCAATACACATTTGACAGCATTGTTAACCTGAAAAAAAATATTATATACAAATAGTATATTGCCATGCCAAATGACTACATTGTTTAATTTTAATAATTATAACAAAAGTTCTAAAATAAATCAATACTTTGTCTTCAGTAAAAAAGAGTTTTTCTACAAACTCATTTAAATTTTACTAATGACAAAAACAAAAAACAAAACTACTGTGTACGAAATTGATTCTTGTCATGAAAAAATTAAATGCCTAACAAAAGATGTATGTAACAAACCTAGTTACCGTACAGTGTGCTATAAACCTATAGTGGATAGAAGTCTTCTAACACACAGCAATTATCTAAAGATGCTCTCAACTCCCAGAGGATTCAAATGGATAGATATGCCATTATACTATAAAAAAGGGTATAATTCATACAAATTCCGTAAGCCAGAAAATCAAAAATATAATATTTATGGTCAACAAGAAATGGTATATATTAGTCACAACACTATACTTTGTAATTATATACATATTTGTATAATATTAAATATTAATGCATACTTTAAAGAATTATGGAAAAGCATGTAATGCACAAAATAAAACCACAAATAATCAAAAGCAAAGAAAGATGAATAATAATTATTATAAATCTAAAAAACTACAAAATCAACAAAAAAAAAGTAAGGGATACCTTTTTGTTTAGTCATAAACCAGCAAAAGTGTAATATGGAAAAATTAATTAAATTATTTTAAGTTCTAGAATAAAAATATAACTTAATTTAAAAAAAAAATGTTGTGTGTAATATGTAAAGATCAATTATTTTTAATAGATGATAAAACCATGTCAAATAATGCCAATAAAACAAAAAATATTAATATCAATAAATATGGAATGGGAGATGATTTAAAACATAAAAATGAATCATTGATTCAAAAAGATGAAGATAGTTCTAGTGAAAAACTAAGAAAAATAAAAGTTCAGCAAGAAGCAGATGATTTTATGAAAAAAAAACATCAATTATGGTTAAAAGAAGAAAACAAACGTAAAAAAAGAGAGGAAGAAGAAAATAAATTTAAATCTGCTATACAAGCTAAAGAAAAAGAAAAAGAAGAACAGAAGAAAAATATGGAAGAACAAATCAAAATGGAATCAAAACGCAATAAAGAACAAAGAAAACAAAAAATTGAAAATGAAAAGGAAGATATAGCACAGGAAATAGCAAGAAACAAATTACTAGAAGAGTATGATTTATTATCAAAAGAAGCCGAAAGGCAACACAGACTTGAAATACTTAAAGAAGAAGAAGAGAAAGCGTGGAGAAAAAAAATAAACGATGATTTTGCCCTTAAATTGGGTTGTCCAATGAATTCAAGTATTGTCAATAAAAGAAGAAATGAGCATTCAATGTGTAATAATGGTAATAAAAGATTAACTCAATATACCAACAAACTCCTTAAAGAAATAAAACACAACAATCAAGTTTTTGATCCAGGAAATTTAATGAAACAAATTATCAAGAGAGAATTGAACAAAGCTGAAAACAAAAAAGTTAAAAATCCATTTTGTACTTAAAGCTGATATTAGAATATTAGATTAATATTAAAAATGTATTTTTAGGTAAAACAAAAAAGTCGGATGAGATTATGTGAGCCATGCAATAAAAAAATAAAAAATATGATAATGATAAAAACTGAAGAAAAAAAGCAAAAACCAGATCTGCCAAAAAAAATAGTATCAATTAAGTCTAAAAACTCAAACCAAGTAAATCAGTTAACAGAGGTAAAATCAAATGAACATTGTAAACTAAACAAACACAAGAAAATGTTAAAATGCAAAATACCCGATGCACATTGTTATAGTAATACTTCATTTAACACATTAGTGTGCAATTGGAAAAATGAGGTGGCTGATATGATAGAAAATATGAAAAAACATCGATATAACTGTACAAAATAATAGGTATAATACATAATACACAAAAACATTCAACATCATATTTTATATAGTTCATTGGATTACTTCAATATTTTTTTAATTAAAAATATAACTATTTAGTTTTCTTTAATTTTGGAATAATTACCAAGCAGTATAAATTTAAAATATAGTCACTATCCACTTGTGGCCATTTTTGATCAATTACATCATTTTCCCAATTAATTTGTTCCCATTTATGATTTATGCGACCTGGTGCAGACACAAATCCACTCCATAAAGCAGATGCAAAGTGAGGAGCCATCGGAGTTAACATTATTATTTGAACAGCCAGTAGTCTTTCATATTCTGCACTAAACTTAATCACCTCTTTAGAAGACTTCTGTAAAAGACTCAATATATTAAAATCTATAAAAAAAAAGTATATTTGAAAAAGAAAACTGTATTAAGAATATGTATGTACTCTTAAAATATTTGTCAACCCTTGAAGTTTTGAAATGGCTACACTCAATTGATATGATTTTCTGAAGTTACTTGAAGTTTTTTTGACATGATAATTTCGTGCATCAAGTAATTTCATTTCTTCTTTTTGGAATATAGATAAATCAATTGCATCTCTTTGAACATCATCATCATTTCTAACAGTTCGAAATTCTCTTATAGTCAACCATAATCTATGTTGCCAATTTAAAATTCCAGGAAATGCTAATAGTATTAATTTTATATTAAATAATATATATATATATTTGAACTACCACATTAATAAATAGTTTTTACTTATTACTCACTATCAGAATTCCAATTTCTATTAGATGTAGGTGCAACACTAGACAATATTAATAATCGCATGGTATCGACTCCATATTCATTTATAGTATTCATTGGATTAATACCATTGTATTTAGATTTACTCATTTTTTCCCATGTTGCAATAACCGGGTGGTCACCATCTTTAGAGAAAAATGATTTACCTTTTTTTATTACTTCATCTTCTTTTAAATATGAGCCATTGATTTTATTTTTAAAACTTTGACCCATCACCATTCCTTGAACCAACAGTTTTTTAAACGGTTCTAAACAAGGAGATAAACCAATGGAATGTAGAAAGTGGTTAAAGAACCTCGCATAATATAGATGCAAAACAGCTAAAAGAAAAAAAAATATTTTAACTATTTTCATCAATTCTTTTAAGAGTAAATTTACCATGTTCTTTTCCACCAACATATATATCAACAGGCATCATTTTGTTCGCCAAAGTCTTATCAAATGGCTGAGAACTATTTTTAGGATCCAAATATCTCATATAATACCAACTGGAATCCACAAATGTATCCATTGTATTTGTTTCTCTTTTGGCCTCTTTACCACATCTAGGACACTACAATATTAATGTTATGTTTGTATTTCTTACAAGTATTAAATATACTACTTACTTTGGACAAGTAGTCTTAATCCATTCTTCAACTAATTCTAACAATTTAAACTTTTTACCACTTTGCACATCAAGCATTGGCAATTTTACTGGCAATTGATCTTCTGGTACAGCTTGAGCTCCACAATCGGTACAATGAATAATTGGTACAGGAGTACCCCAATATCTTTGTCTAGATATTAACCAATCCTGTAATTTAGAGCTTACTTGATAACCACCAAAATTTAACTCTTTTGCTTTTTCACAAATTATTTCTCTAGATAAATATGAGTTTTGGTTTACTGAATAAAAAATACCATGCTCTTCTGCTAATTCTTTATCAATAGAATTTGCATGTGGCACAGCTAAGCGTGTTTCTTGCCCCTCTGGATACATTACACGATCAGTAACTAAAATCGGTAATTTGCTGCCAGTAATCGGATTCTTGATGTATACATTTTTATGATTCAGGACATAATATTTATGTACAAAAGAGTCGGGCTTAACACAAATAAAAGCAGCTAATGGTACATATTCTGGATATTGTGTCCAAACATTGAGTATTGTTCTATATACATTATCAGTATATAGTTTAAAATCAAATTTATATCCATCACATTCTCCAATCCAATGTTTTTGTAGGTTGATAATGTCCCTCCAATCTATTAATGATGGATCATTTAGTCCTTCAAACAGAGCTCTGTAAACAATGATTTAAAAACTATTAGCTGCGCCAACAAAAATAATATGAGGCACAGTAAAATAATAAAATAAGTTTTAAAATTAAATGAATACTAATTTATTTTACAATTTTCTATAGAAATTTAAAGGGTGAATAACACTGAAAAATAATGTTTACACAGTGCAAACTATGCTTAATATCTTATCAGTAAATTGTACTTATTAAAATTTGGAAAGTACTACTGTCCGAAAGCGTAGTTAAAAAAAATGTGTTGTGTTGAGCATTTACTATTGTGAAGATCTACTAAACGTGAATGCATTTAATAGTTTATATTCTTAAGTAGCATATAAATTATAAATATTGATTATTAAAATAAACAAATACTAGGTTATTGAATGTTTAACTAACTTGGAAAATTGCGTTGTTTTTATAAACCATTGTTTCAGTACTTTTTTCTGAACTAAAGCACCAGACCGCCAAGAACGTCCATTTTCATCTACTTGTTCATTAGCTAATACTGTTTCATCTACTGGATCCCAATTAACTTCAGCCTAAATAACAACAAAAATAAATGATTATAATCAGTGCTAGTAAAAAGTTGATACAAAGGAGATCATTCTTACTTCCTTAGCATAAACAAGTCCAGATTGAAACATTTTTAGAAAGAACCATTGAGTCCATTTATAATAAGTTGGATCACAAGTTGCTAATTCATTAGACCAATCAAAACTACATCCAAGTTCTTGAAGCTGTTTTTTCATGTGATCAATATTTGAACTAGTCCATTTATCAGCTGGTAAGCCATGTAGTATAGCTGCGTTCTCAGCAGGAAGCCCAAATGCATCCCATCCCATAGGCTGAAATACCTATTGCAACATTTTTTTATAAAATTGCTTTATTTAATATGAATAGGTAATAATAACAAATAAATTTACATTTTGTCCGTTCATACGATGAAACCTAGCAATTGAATCTGCAATTACATACACTCGAACATGACCCATGTGTAATTGACCAGACGGATAAGGAAACATCGACAACACATAGAATTTTTTATCGATATTATTTTTATAAAAACTGCCTTTACATAATTTATCTTTCCAGTATTTCTCAATTTTTAGTTTTAGACCTATTGTCAAATCTTCATTCTAAAATCAATTTTGATGCATTAAAACATATAAATTATTATTTATTATTGATACCTAAAGTCACTTACCCAAATATCATTACTAAGATATCTACAGCTCGGAGAATATTTCCTACAACGTCTAAGGTTATTAAGTTTATAAAATATTTCTTTGGAAATCATTGCCCACGATTAGAGATCGATATTAAACTCTACTCTAAAATATATAAAACAATAGGTTTAAAGTTATAAACATTTAAATCCTATTAAAGTGGTCTTTTTTAATTCCTCGCGGCTTACATACCTATTTCATAGTACATACTATACTTATTATTACTTTTTTATAGTAAGTAGTAACCGGCCGTATAACCACTCTTATCATTTTTCGGATAAGTGCTTATCACTCACCGTGTTCATGGACGCATGGCCTTAGATTACACTATCAATTATAAACTCATGACCGCGGTCATGGTCTTGGAAGACCATGCTCATAACTGATAAATGTTTAAGATAATAGCACTGGTAGATCTTCACCACGATTTAAGATATTAATGTCTTCTCCATATTGGCCGCAGTCTGTAGGTATTTTTCAAGAGCTTCATCACGTGTCCACGCCACCGCGGTCTTAAACAGAAGACCTGAAGACCGTGATTATCACTATATCCAGTTAAACCGTGTATTATAATTTATAGCACAGAATGGATGTAATCTTTGTAAATTATAAGATATAAAATTATAAATAGATTTAATCTATAGGTACCGTGAAAATAGCAAGGCGTATCTCAGTGACGCAACCATGATGGGGGGGGGGGTATCCAGAATCTTGTTTTTTCGATGCTGCCAGCATGTTACCGTATATACCTATTAACATATATTATTATATTATTGTACGAGTATTAACATACATCGTAACAATGTAACTCCCTCCCCCCCAAAAAAAATTGAAGAAATTATTTTTCAGTTGCACCACTGGTCGATCTAGTCCCAAACAGCCACGATGGTAACGAAAACAAACACAATAGTGGTAAGTACAAAACAAAAATTATCAAAATTTGTCAATACCTACATAATTATTATTAAATAATTAGGAAAACATTATAATGTAAAATTATGTTCTACTTACCATGTAGGTTAGACACCTGTAGGCTATGAGTATTTTTCAACTAAAAATTCATGCCACTTTCATTTTATTAATTTCATCATATTCCAAACATGCAATTTATTATTTAATTGTAATGGTTAATATCCAAAATTTTCTATGCATTTTTATTTTTATTCTTTAAGTTTATGACTTAAATTTTTTTTGCATCTCTCCAAAATAAATAAATTACATAATATTTATATAATATCACAAATTCACAATATTATTGTTATTGTAAAAAAATGAATACCGCTAGATCGCACTAGTAAAATCACACGATAATTTATACAATTATACGTCTGAAAATAGATGAACATTAAACTTAATTACTGGAACAATCGTTATTGATCGATGAATGATGATCCTTTAAATAGCCAAATAGGTTTTCAATGTTTATAGGTATTTTTCCATAATATGACAAGTTTTTTCCAGTACACAAGATATTTCGAACTTCAATAATAGATATACCAAAAAAGTACAAACATATTGTTTTTTTTCAGACTTACACTTGTATTTTAGATTTCCAATAAAGTAACCAATGCTTTTTGAAATATTAAATGTTCAATGTTAAATAATCACTCTGTACTTAAAAAGCATTCTAAACTATTATAAAGGAAAAATTAAACAAACTTCAAGCGATAGAAATCTTTTGTCGGCACTAGAGAGTAGAGGCACTGGTCTAGGGCCAGCGGGGAGGGATTTTGGGGTTGTGACCCCCCACGAAATATTGCATTTATTGCAAATTTTACTTAGCGAGTAGTTGTATAGTTGTATAGTTGTATACTTCCATAATTTGCATAACAATTTTAAACATAGTTGTAACGTATAAAGTATATTTAAATATTTAATATAAGCTTAATTTTGTTTCCAATACCTATCATGTATAAATAAAAGATATCGTGCATGGGTTCTATCAAAAACTTATTAAATTTTTATTTCTGCCATAATGACAAGTATGTGGTTTTAATTCTGCCAAATAATTTTTCTTCCAAACGAGTGTTGAATATTTAAAATATGTATTCACATAATTCTGGTTTTATGTTGTTAATGTTGTATGATATTCTGAAAATTATATTTCCGAAAAATGGTAAGTCACCGCCCACATTGCATTGTGCATTTGGTCCAATTTCAGTAATAGTTTATGCTGACCAAACAATAATTGCCAATTATTCCATGCATATTTGCATGATGCAACATTGCAATAGTTCTAGTGCTCTACAAATCGCATCCCAATATTCCGAATATTAATTGCACTCTTAAAAATCTAAAAGCTAATCTCCTCTATCTCTTACATCCCTCTTCCCCAAAATGTATCCTAATTGAGTCACTGGAAAGGTTATTATCATTACAACAGTTCAAAAGTTATTTATTAAAAAGTATTTACATTTTTCTATGATCTGTTCATAAAAATCTCTACATTTCTGAATAATATTTAAAGTTTTAAAATAGTATGGTATAGTATGACATAATGGTTATAAATATTTCATCAGATTTATACTCACTATAGTTATACCAACTGGATAAGTAGATAGTTATGCATCATAGCTAGTAATTATTTAAATTATATTCTGTAGTACCTAAAAATATTTGGGAAGATAATGATCCAATAAAAAATGTATTAATGAAAACTACAAGGTATATACTTACATCAATTAATAAAAACGGGTTCGAAAGGTTCGCTCGATAGTCGGTAGTAGATACTGGTACATAAACATTGATCATACATAGCACATGACATATGTGGATAACACACTAACACACAAACACATTTACGCATCCAATTTACATATTATAGAATTTATATAAAATGCTGGAATCCCATATTTAATATAACCGATTATGAAATAATTATTACCTAAGTGTTCCTTATATAATTATTTACATCGATCTAAAAACAATTAATGGTGTATTCGCTTTTGCTTGTTTTGGCCTGATAGAAACTACTAATGCAATTATACAAGCCCTCTCAAATTATTTTTTAGAAAAAAGTAAGTACCTAAGCCAAGACGTTTAAATAATGGATCACCCATACGGATATACAAGACTTGACTCTAGGAAAAACATGACCCGGAAAAAGAACGACAAGGTGGAAAACGTTGAATGTATTTTACATGAAAATCACAAATATTAGTTGTAAGTCAATAATTAAGTTATAAAAATGATTAAAAAATATAAATAGATAGATTATAAATAATAATAATAAATCACAAATATCGTATAGTAGGTACTATAGTATGTGCTATACCGGGCAAATGTAAACTGGGCCCGAAGTTACCTTTTTTGTTGTAAACTCGGCCCGGAAATTTCAGGTAGTAAAATAAATCAATTGTAAACTCGGCCCGAAAACATACATAGGAAAAGATTCTATGTTTCCGCCTGAAATGTGGGCCAGTGCATCAGTTGAAACTTATTTAACAACAAATGCATGTGAATCATTTCATGCGCATTTTAATTCAAGTTTTAATTCCACTCACCCCAATATTATAAGAAAAATCATGGTTTTTACACCTAAATAATTTTGACCTGAAAAAAACCCAGGCCGAGTTTACATCGACCTTTTGAAAATGTTTTTTCCTCGGGCCGAGTTTACAATCTCCGGCTATACCTACCTGTTTAACAATTTGGTATGCCTCTTTCCCCACTCAAATATAATTTTACTTAAGATTCACAAATATCAGTTTTATTTCGCAATCATGTTATAATAATAATCTTGGCATCTACTTTTATTGGCAATAAAACCATTTTGAAAAAATAAAAAAAATATTTGGCAACATAATATGATATAGGTAAATACGCTGAAATTAATTACAGTTGTTGTTCTTGTGTACCTTTAAAATTATGTTTTTTTCGTTATGTATCATGTCATTTTTACTGATTACCATAATTCAATAATAACCTTCAAAAATGTGTAAAATATATGTCAATATGAAAATTTGTATTGATAAAACCAAGGTGTATGATCGTAAGGATACACTTTGGATAAAACTTTAAATTTTATATTGATTATTAAACTATTTTTGGTATTTCGAATATGAACCAATCATGAATTCATAAATAATAAATATATAGGAGTCATACAGGTGTACCATAATAACATCTTAAGTTTAGTCTCTAAGTGCATGTTTTAACTTATATACTGTAATAGTATCTTACTAATCCATAGATCATCAGGACATTGTTGGAAACTGTGAGAAGTTAATTTAAATTGTATAGTTTGTGTTTTGTTCCCTATTACGTGGCATGGACAATAAGCGGTGAAAAATAAGCTTCGAATGGTTTAATTTCTCTGTGTCCCTTTTTTAATGGTTTAAAAAAAAAAAATCAAGTTTAAAAATATAATTATTGGTGCTCATGAGTTATGATTATAAAAAATATAGTTGTAATACATATATAATAGTGGCAATATAATATACGATTGATATATAGTACAAGAAGTGATTGATTTGGAAAAAAATTAGAAGGGAGACTCAAGGGATGTTGGATGAAAGAGCGTTCCACTCAAAATTAACCGTCACTTGACTGTGGGGGCAAGGCCCCCACTCATCCTTCTAATAACAATCACATCAAAACAATATTGAATTTGTTCTACAAATATATATATTATATAACAAGGAGAAAAAGACTTATTTATTAATTACCAATAACCGATAACTGATAAGTATCATGACTGAAACCGATTCGATGTCAGAAGCAGTACATACTGTAGTACACAGCCGCTATAAACTGACCCAACGATTTTGTTGTATTTAACTGTATTTTCTAGTTAAAAGGAATTTTAATAATTAATTTTTTTTCGGAGGTACAAAGTAAAAATATTATAGCTATTATTTTTTTAATTTCGCATCAGAAAAACTGACTATTTTCTAATTCACTAGTAAATGTTGAGTTCCAACCGTTGCTTTCCAAAAATATAGAATTGTTACGCTCAATAAAAAAATAAAAAAGAAAGGGGTCTTCGTCCCCCCCTCCCCAAAGCAAGCACTGAGTACAATTGTACACTGTACAACTATAGGTACTCTATATACCCAGTAAAATAATATAATAAACACAAGATATTGACAATAACCTATAGGTAATGTACAATTGCCAATCTCATCATCATTTGTTAGTTATTTTTAAGGTTCACTCCACGTTATTATAGCAAGTCGTAGAAAACGTTAGTTGCAATTGCGGTTACCGCTAGTATCTATGATTGTATCATGATATAGTATCTCTGTATATAGGTACAAGTACAACTATATGTAACTGCATATTATAAGCTAGGCCTTTAGTATTTTTTTTTAGGGGTAGGGGGAGGATGGCTTGAATTTTTCTAAAATTATTTTTCATACGCTAATTATCTTCAGATAAAATGTATTATATAGCTAAGGTTTTTTCCACTGATCCCTCATCCCAAAGTTGTACCTACCTATTATTATGGCTGTATAATTTATTCAAATTGTTGTCTTAAATTATTAAAGTTATTGAAGTATCTAAGTTAAATTATTTCTATTTTATTATTGATATTATTATTTTTTTTAAGTTATTAATATAAATAAAGAGACTAAGGTGGCCAAAATATTTACTTGCCACAATGTCAAATTGTTTATAGATATTGATAAATGATTTATTATATCCAACAAAAACCTAACCATAAAAAAACGGCCATGTCCCAGACCCCTCACAAAACGTCTGCTTATCAAAGTAATGACATTGCAACTAAGTCTGTTCTTTCTTTAATCAATTACCTTAATAAACAAATGCATTCATGTGCAATAAATTTCTTTTAACTTTATTTGCTTATCAGTGTCGCCAGTTTTTGATTTTGTGTCTTTAGCGTTGAAAACGACCGAAATGAAATCTATTTTTATCAACCTTTGATTGTTTTTCTTTGAAACTGATCAAGTGAAAAGCAATAAAATAAACTTACCTTTGTGTCAAATTTCACGTATCTTTGCCTACTACCAAGCGTTTAGATAAATGTTATGATTAGTATTAGAAAATCAAATTACACCACCTAATTTTAACTATAAAATATAATGTTATTAGATATGATTTATGAGTTATGACCAACGGATGAACAACCAAAACCCAAAATTTGATTTTTATAATTTTTAAATTTTTTTA